TACAATATACAATTTCGAAGAAAAAAGACTTTATAAATGATCTTATAATAGAATTTGGAAATGTTATATTATGAAATTTGAAAAAATCGATATAATTTGGTTGAAACAAATTACCAAATAAATGTAACAATGGAAAACTGCCCGAGTTATTTAAGAATTGATCAAATTTATTGCAATGTACGGCGCGAATGTGAACTTCAAAATTAAAAACTGCTAATTATATTTGACATATCGTTTTTCTCAAGCTAATTAATAACTTGTGTCTGCTTACATAAATACGACAGTGCATGAAGATATATGCTACACTGCAAACTACAGTTACTTAAAACTTTGTTATTAAAACATTTTTATATTATGTTTTTTAATAACAATTGTTACATGTATATATTAACATATAAAAACAGATTTAAGACAGTTCTACGTTTCAAAGTACTATGAGAATATTTTTGTTATATAATCATATAAATTATATTGTATTGTATATGTTCAATGAAACTCTATAGTTATTTAAAATTTAAAGGACATATTGAAGAAAAAAACTGTAACTACAAATATTTTAGATACATAATTTATTTTAAGATTCAAACAAAGGAAGTTTCGTTAAATAATGTAAATACGTTTTGGCTCTTACATAACAGCATTCGATCTAAAGTATATATTTACAATATATCACATTCTTATACAATAATAATTTAGCACACTGTTGACAATAATAATAACATAATCTTTGCTATATTTACGTCCAATAAATTAATTAACAAATATATTGTATCGTGTATTCATTCAATGCACAGAAGATACTGATTTTGCAATACGATATAATATAATCATTTTCCATATCATGAAAATATGAATCATTTATTCTATAAGAAATCTTTATTTCTCTAATGTTTACCTTTATAAAAGGATACAATAAAATAAGATCAGTCTTTAATTCTTTAAAATTAATTTAGAAACTATTTCCAAACAAAAATTGCTTACAGGTTCTTTAATCACATTTAATCACATGTAAAGTAATAAAAAAGTGTAATGTGATGGAATCACATTGTTTAAAGCATTTTTTTCATTGCCATCTTTTAACAAAAATTTTATATACTAAATTATTTAGTATTCAAAATATAGCAAATTACTTATGAAATGATTTTCAGTTTGTTTTTGTCCAGTGATAACATTTTCTCAAAAGATCTTGTATCTTATTTGATCAATAATAGGAAAGTGAAAATTTGATAATATAAATATAAATATACAAAATTTAATAATTTTTTAGTAGAGCTATTTTCCTCCATCTATGGTTTGTCTCATTTTTTACATGACCAAATTCAAATCTAATTCTAAGTTCACCAATTTTTGATATTGGTAAAATATCTGGTATCCATTCTATCAAAAATGGTGTTGGTTCAACTTGATTTGGAGAAGTATTTCCTGTAAAGTAAAATGAAATATTTTTTTATGATGCTAATAGATAATTAATATTTTTTTAAACATTTAGTAATTTGTAAACTATATTTTTTTATACATATATTTAATACTTACCAACTTTCAAATACGTTTTTAATTCTAAGGGTTTAATTAATGCGTTATTATTGGTTTTTTTGTATCGGTCTATTTCCGTTTCTTCTCTTTTATACAATTCATATGTACCATCCGCGTTTTGAACAAAACTTCTTGTGATTTCCAAAGGTATTAGAGGTGTCTCAAAAATACTTTTGACATGTAAAATATTAGTAATTTGCCACGTATATTTGGTAAATGTACCTAACGGTACACCGTCTTTTCTAACAAATGCCGTTGTTGAATTTGGCAAACGTTTCTTTTTGCCACCACATGATATCCTTTCTCGTAAACAATCAAAAAATATTTGTGGTACATGAAATACTAAGGGATCTGGTTTTCCATCAAATTGAAAATGCATAGTTTGATTTATTCTTTCTGTTATCGATGCAAGCCATTTGATGAAAGGTAAATTTATATTAGCTTCGTCCAAATCTTCGCAAGGATTTTGATACTTCTTAACAATATGTAATTTTGTTTTAGCTTTTCTTGGTTCTATTGAACTTAAATTATTCAGACTTGTGGTGTTTGTGCTTGTTGGTTTGTCATCTCTTTTTCGCTTTGTTGAAATTGGCTGTGTTATACTATTACTTTCCGTATTTGATATACTGCCAGTATCATATTGTATTAACATGTTTTTATCTACTATTTTTACACCAGTAGTATTTGAAACAGTATTAGTATCAATTATTTTCATGTTATTTACATCTAAAATAGCATTTGTATCAAGAACTTTCAATGTTCCAGTATTTAATATCTTTATATTATCATTTAATATATATTGGCTATTATTAAGCACATTATATTTAGAATCCATGCTTGTCTGATCATCCATTATCTTAACGGTATTTCCACCAAGTTGTACACCATTTTCATTAATTACTTCTAAATTATTCACCTAAATTTCAAAACAATTTTAATATTTTAATTCGTCTTCCTATGTTATATAAGCAAGCAAGTAATGTAATAAAATCTTACTTGTGATACCATATTATTATCTTCTAATAAGGTACGATCACATTCTACTCCAATATTTTCAACAATACTATGTGGTAGAATTGTAGACTCTAAATTCATTGAATCCAAATCTAATCTATTTCCATCTAAGCTCTGAACTGTTAAAGTGTCATCTCGAAATATTAAAAGATGTGTATCTGTATCATCCGTTGTTAAACCATCAAGATCTATTTTAGATATAGTTTGTAATATAAATATCTTGTTATACTAAGTTCAGACTATGAATAATAGAAATCTTCTTACCAATGCCTACTATTTTATCTTGTTCATCATTTTGTAACACTGTTGTTAGTGGTTTCGATACACTTAAATCATTCTGATCTAAGTTAATATAATAACTAAATTCTTCTGATAATTTTGTATCGCTAGCAAATGCACAAATACAAGCATAAAAATGTACACAACGCTTATTCTGAGAAGACTGCGCTACATCTGGTTTGTCTCCTGTTGTTTTCCCTATGCCCTAAATTAATTATTGGTACTGTGAATAATATTCTTAGTTATAAATAATACAAGTTTAACTTGTTTTACTGATACTTACTTTAAATGTGGAACAAGAACAAAAATAACGATGTTCAATTCTATCTTTCAATTTTGTAACAAAGAGAGAAAAATGAAGGTACCCTAATGGATGTTTTGGTGAAGCTTTGCATTTGACTGCCATTATATTTTTGGATACTCGTTGTACTAAAGGTCCTGAAGTTTCAGTAGCAAGTAACCAAATTTCTTGTTTCATTTCATTATTTACATTTAAAGATGATAGAATAGAGTTCCTTAAAGTTAATGGCTGTGCCTCTGCATAGCACCTTAAGGCAGCCTGTATATGTTGACATGCAGAGACAGGCGTATCGGACGAATTCTTTTCCTATAAGAGAAGGGCATTAAAGTTTTATTAATATTAAACTAACTATTATTATTAACAATTACATTATTTTGAAACTTACATGACATTTAAGAACACTAGTATCAAAACTTCTTTCACAACTATCAACAAAACATAATGCAGTAGATTGTGAAATTAGTGTTATCATTTCATTAGAAATTGTGGCATTTATCAGTGGTAATTGAACAAATCCACGATAGTCTGGGCCTTTATCACGTACTCTAACAGAAAAAACTTGAGCAGTTGTGCCCGTAATAAGCTTACATGCTTCTGTTGATAGTTTCCTTTTTTCACCAGGTTCCTTAAATACAGCATCACAATATTTGTTTTTACAACACAAACCACGAGATCCATTATAAGTTCCACATTTTGGGCATTTACGAATTCCACGTAATGTAGCTTTACCTAAGTCAGATAGTAACTTCCTCAAACGCTCCTCATTAGACATAGCTAAAAAATGTTATATTTGATTAGTAATATATAGAATCACCTTATCAAATAATAAAATATATTTTCAGAATAGATTTGGTTACTTAATTTTAGACATTATTTTGTTGAAATGCTATATTGTTGTAATTTTTAATAATAATATCAATTGTTATATAAATATAATGTGAATTAGATCTGTTTTTGAGCTTCATATTTATATATTCTAAAAATACTGCTATAAACACTTGACATTATGATTGTTAATACAAACCTCTATAATATACAATATGCAGAGATCATTGAATAAAAGAAATAAATAGCATTTATATTTTTAGATTATGAAAAGCTAATTAAAAAAATATTAAATTAAGGGAACATTTTTACCAAACACTCAAGCACTGTTTTACATGACACATTTTGCTAATTCTAATTGGTACAGAAATTAAAGGCATTAAACTTTTACCTGCTCCTACCTTTTACAACAGAATTAATGTTTATAATAGGAGAAAAATGTTATGTACTAATAATTATAGTATAGAAAATTTTGCTTCCGATAGTAAATAAATAAAGCTCATCTCAATGCTAAATTACTAGCATTTACGATAGAGGGCATTACTCTCTCTACAACATTAACCCAAATTCACAGAATCAAATAATTTTCCAATTATTCTTAATTCGTAACATTACTATAAAATAAAAATAGTTCATATTTATTAAAATGTTGTAATATTTGTTATGTCGTACAAACTTAAATTATTTATAATAATTGCAAAACTTTATTATTTTTCTGATAATTAAAATATTCTCACACTTTCATCTTTCTATTATTTCATTAAATATATGCGTAGATATAATTAAAAAACACCATTCCTCCTAAAATTATATCTCAGAAAACATTTTTATAGCTATGTTTTTTTTAACATTTAAAAGTTATATTTTCTTTATTTATTTATTTATTGCGGTAAAAAATTAGTTAACTACATAAACTATCTTATTCAAATAAATTTTTATATATTAATATTCATTCGTATTATCTCTGATATTACACATTCAATGTAAAAACAAAATAAAAAAATCACTTAAGTAGTGCTTTAAATTTCGGAACTTCACTCATATTCATGTTTACAATGTCATCTGTATTGGTATTAAGTCACATAGCCATGTTTAGCAAAATTTTGTATCAAACGTAAAGCATCTGTAGGGACCAGTTTAATTAAAGAATAATCAGTTAATAACGTGTATTATTCTTTAAAAAGTGGTAGAGACGTATTAATTGAAAAACTATAGAACATATGATAAAACATAAAAATACACAATTTATTTAACTTGTAAATATGAAACAACTTTTAACAACATCGACTAACCTAATTTAACGAAGTTTTAAAAGAAGAGATTGAACGTAAGTAATAGTTGTGTGCAAAAATTGAATGGCATTTACTAAAATATTTACTTGATTTAAGCGCTTGGCATGTTTTTTTTGTAGTAAACTTTCAATGTTAGAATTATTAAGGTTACGCGTTACTAATTTTTAACAAAATCTTGAAATTAAATATTATATCTATATTTATATCTTAAGATTTTTTAAGTGTGTTACTGATATATTAATATGATTTGTACAAAAGGTGAATTCATAGAAATTGTGTTATAAAGTAAATAAATATGACAGCGGCAATCAAAACATTATGGAAGCAAGCATTAAATACGTTTGAAGAACGGAGTAATGTCGGATTTAAGCTTTGTCAAAAGAACTTTGACAAATTGCGGTACTTGATGAACAAGATTACAGCCGAAGACGTAAATTTAAATAAACAGATCCTCGATTTTATTCAAGTACAGCATGCTCCGATGTGGGTAATTGATATATTTGAAAATAAAGACTTTGCTATTTCAATTTTTATATTGAAACATGGATTTACAATGCCAATACATGATCATCCTGGAATGCATGGGTTTTTAAAGGTATGATGTAAATATAATTTTAAAGGTATGATGCAATATAATTTTAGTGTAGATATAATTTTACATTTTAATGTAAATATATATTGTATCATAATCAATAATATATATTATTAATAATTATATATATATATATGTCGGAGAAGGAAAAACAGCGGGATTTCCCATCCGGAATGTTGGGACAAACCCGAATACACTAGTCCAGACTTTTACTATAGTCACCCTTAAGTAATAAAAATAAGAAATAGTCTTAATGTTCCAATCTGACTTTATGACGATGGGTTTGGGCTCGAAGTGACATGGCAGGTCACCGGACGTAGCCACGGTCACGGGAGGGACATGTACCTGACAGAGGTATGAAATGATTATATGGCTCTCCTTAAAACAAAGATTAACCTGAGAAGCGGGGACAGGAGTATATAAGGGCAGCCTCTTTTGGATTGATGGAGTTATAGTGAGAGTTAGAGTTAGTTAGTTGGTTAGTGAGTCGTTGGACGAATTGCCGATTGAGTGATCGGGAAGTTACCCGAATCGAGTAGCACGTTGATACGAGTCCTCCTGTGGACCGTGGATTCGTTATCGAACCTGAATTCGTTGTCGTCACCATATATATATATATTAATTTCTGATTTTATTTTAAAACTATATAGGATTAAAATCCTTACTATACTTTAAAATGTAGGTAATCAATGGTGTAGTCGAAATAAACAATTATACTCTGAAGCCAAATGAGGATCATACAATCAGATTAAACAAAGAAGTAATGGCATATAGACATAAACAAATATCATTACACAGCAATTCACCTGCTTGTACTCTTACACCAAGAGACAAAAATTTACATGAAATTACATGTATTGAAGGACCCGCTGCATTTTTGGATATACTTAGTCCTCCATATGATGTAGATGATTCTGGAAAAGGTTTGAGACCATGTACGTTTTTTAAAACTGTTAGTAGTTCCAAGCTATGTACAGATTCAGATATAGTGGAAGAAGTTAAATTGGTGGTTATTGAAGGTCCACCAGATTTCTATTCTGGAAGCCTTAAATACACAGGACCACCTTTAATGTGACCTGAAGTATCAAAAAATATTTCTTGTTCTGTTTGTTAAAAAGTTTTGCATTTTATTGAATTGATTTACATTTGTAATTATATTACAAATTTTTAAGAATATTTAAATTCTAATTGAATGTATAATATTGGTGTTTATTTCTTGTACTTTTTTGCAGATATGTAAGTTTATGAATACATGTATATTGATTAGATAAGCTCCATATATAAAAGTGATACAAAATTTTATATTTTATAATATTAGTTTATATTGGATATAGTTTATCTTTATTTATTGCGGATTTTGGACTGAAATTGGATATAATTTGTAATCTGTGACTCTTTGCATTTTTATTGACTTTTTGTATACAAAAATGTTATCTGTATAAAAATCACGAATGTGAAATGATTACATTATATTTACTATTTCGTTGATACATAGAATAAGGATGTAAACAAAGAATGTATTATAATACACTTTACATGTAATGCATGATAAACAAAGGCATATGATAATTATTGAATAAAAACAAAAATTTTAATTGTATAAAAAATATATACTTACTTATATTACATAATATTTAAGAAATAGGTTTATCACATCTATTGTAAAAAGATATGCATTGCATTTTGATGTATATGTTATAATCCTTTTAGTTTAACTGTCTACATAGTTCTTACAGACCAAGAAGTTCAATCTTTTCAAGATAATTAATATTTCTAAAATATATACTATATTGTACTTAAACAATACAAATTTACAAATAGCTTAATAATAAATATATTTATATATCATACAGTCTTTCTTAAAATATTCCTCTGATTCCCGAGTTTTTATTATATATTTATTCTATTTTATTAATGGTGATGATTATTTTTTCATAAACGAATATATCTTTTATCGTTTAAAAAAGGGCCACAATTTTATATGTAAAAAATTGTAAATTTAAATATTTAACTTATTGTATAAATATACTTTTTAATTTGTTTTGAATGAATATTTAAAACATAATGACAGTAAAAACTTAAATATTAATTATACGAATATAATTTAGCTGGAGAACTTAAAAAATTATAAGTGATAAGTTAGTTAATTTATTGGTTATTTATATTTATTAAGGTATAAAAAAACACGGTTTATTGATTTAAATTGATATTTACTAATTTCTTATATCTACAGCAAATAAAGCATTTACATAAAATAAACTTGTATTTCAAAACTTTTTTATTTTATATATATTAATATAGTCAATACCTAATCCAAGACTTATCTATCATAGAAATAAATTTCTTTTCTAAAGACTGTATCTCTTTTTACACTCATAATCAAAATGTAAATAACTCCTAAAAACATACCATGCCTATTTTTGTCAGAGCACAAAAAACTCGTTCTGTGTTAACTTCATAAAATATAGTTTTTATCATTAATAAACTACAGATTTGCTATTTTCTTCCTGCGTGATTCTTTCGAACAAAGGAAAACTAAATTGTAGTAAGGACATTAACATATCTCATTTCTTATTTTGTACGTAAGGAAGGATGAGTCGATATTAGTATAACTTCACTGATAATTAAATTTAAGAAATGTAACATTCCCATTTTCTTTCAATTAAATGTTCATCCTTAGACAGATAATAACTTACTAATTATATTTATGTATATGATAATTTCCCTTTATTATTTTTGTATGTATGTGTATATATAACTTACGTATTTGTTAGACTTGATTAAAGTACCCACAAACTTATATTATTACATAAAAGTAATATACTGGACATGTGTTTTCATGATAAAAGTATATTATGAGGTTTAGTTTTTTTTTAACTGAGATGTCGTTTGATAGTATATTGTTCCAAGAATCTCTTGCATGTATCTATTTAACTTGTCTGGTTAGTTTCAGAATTTTGTTGTCTTCTATATAATGAAACATTACTCTCTGTATAATCCATTATACGACGTTGACATTGTCTTACATATTGTTGCTGTTTATGGTATATCTTGAATGCACCCTTTACTGTTATAAATGCTATACCTCCCTGCAGAAATGCATACATTTCATAAAAATCTAAGACAATTATTTAACTAATAATAAATATATTTAATGTATGTATACATACAAGCAATGTTCTTTGAAAATTAGAATGTATGCTTTCAAAAAATATTTTGCCACATATGCTGGCAATGCTAGGTAATAAAAGCGCACCACAAAGAATACGAGTTGCTGACATTGGATCACTCATAGGTGGTAGATCGTCAGATTGTACTCTGTCAGCACTTGAACAACTAAAATAATATGAATGTGAAACATATGATATAATTACTTCATATTTTGTACATACCTACTAGGCAAGAAATGCCTCAAAATAGGAACCTTATATGCATGTCGCCTTAAAAGATTAAGTGCTTGATCTTCCCATCTGAGCATTTTTCCCAAAACTAACATTATTGGAATAGTTGGCAAACCAACCAATAATACCAAAGGATCAGCTTGTTCCATTATAGCTAGACCATCCTTGTGACCAACTACTTGCATCACGGTTACTGCTCCATATGTTACAGCTGTCCAGTATACAGATGCAGCAACTATACTAGCTGCAATAAATGGGCAAATTCGAAAAACCATACCATCAATAGTATCCAGTACAACTACTAATGGCCCTGTAATAAATATACCACATTTAACACACATATTGCAATATACATATATTTATAGTATATTTCTTTATAGCAATTGTAACAGCTATATTTTAATAATAAATCTATCTGAACTTGTTTTAAAATATATGTATAAATATTAAAATAACTAACCCATATTTGGATATACAATGATGTATTCTGTATTACACTGTGGACATGCTACATGTGCACCTGCATGTCCTTTTTGTTTTTCATCAACCCATCTCTGAATACATCCTTGATGTACCCATTTTGTTGTACCACGACAATGACATGGTTTTACCCATAAAGCAGTTGCATCATCTTCATCTGTTGCAAAGCATACCCAGCAATATCTTTTGCTGAATTGAACAGAAATGTTTTGTTAAGAAGCATGTATTGAAATTTTATCTTTTATGTATAAAATTATAATATATATTAATATACATACTCATCTTCTGTATTTGCTATTGATGTATTAATGTTTGATTGGTTTGGGGAAGATGCACCATCAATCATATCGTTCGGTTGGGCAATGTTTACAGATTCTGACAACACAATAGGTACTGGTTCCTCATTTGATAAAATCGCTGGAGGTTGAGCATCAGATATTTCTTTAATCAAGTTTAATTAATTAATTAATTAATTAGTCTTGCATTTTAACACGTAATATAAGTAATATTAATGTATAACAATTTTCTGGAATGAATTGTATTTGACAACGGTTCAATTTTAAATATTAACTCATTCAGTTTCTTTGTATATGCATTGCAACATTTCTACAAGTTGTAAAATTATATAAATATATACTATTAGTAAAAAAAAGTTATTATTAGTACATATATGATCTTTACAATTTTAGCATTTATTAATATGATCTTACCATTATTTGATTCATTAGTTTGTCTTTCTGGCCTTAGATTTGTGCTAAGTCTTCTTAATGTTTCTTCTATACTTGAAAGACGACCAATATTAGGCCGTGTGGTAATACTAGATTCTATACGTACTATCCTACCAGGCGAATCAAGTCCATAGAATATGTGCGGCAAATTGTTATCTGACATTTTGTCTTAATAAAATAAGATTTTCAATATTGCATTACTGTATTATACCTAAAAAAAGAATGTTATTATTTACACAAAACATAATGTTTATTAATTTATTCGACAATTCAAACATATGTAATTATATGACAATGTCAATGAAGTTATGAAACACATACAAATATTATACAAAAATACATTATACAAAAAATTGTAGAATCATTAGTAATTACTACACTGATACAATTTGTTTTCTATTTAAAGGACATTTATCTTTTCAGACATTTTTTATTTAGAACATTATATATTCTTATTTCTATGACAAAGCGACGAAAATAAATTTCAAAAATATATCGGAATAGTACAGCTATGTAAGTCTTTCTTTTACTAATCGAGTTTTACTATTTTATCAAATGAAATTGATACTATTTAGTTTAAAAAAATGTTGATACATTACAAAATCATTTTATTAACTATTGACACGTCGTAGTGAAGTTGATCGTCCATTGGTTCGTTACGCATCGTTACAAATTAGAATAATAATTCTATCATAACAAACTTTATCAAGGAAATATTTCTAATAAAATATAGATTGTACAAGAGATTGACACACAGAATTGACATCATATGTTAGTAATGATGCAATATGCACATTAATAAAATCGAAAATAATAATCTCTACCTGAAGCAACATTCATAAACAATTCACTGTTACACATTTACAACGAAATGACGAGAGCATAGACATTTTCTTTTTAAAATACAATATAAAATAAACACGGAGTGTACAGAAATAATTTAGTTACGTTGTAATCTTCGTTAATATCTTGCAAGTCTAAAGAAAAAATCTAAATGTGTCCAAATTCACTTTATAAATGAATTTATTTCGTTTTTCAGTCTTATAGGCAACGATTAAAAGTTACGTGAAATTGCTCCTTATAGTGACGATATATATAAGTATATATTAATGCGAAAATTCGCCAATGAAATATGCCGCCAAACTTCATGCCAATATCAAACTTCTTTTTCTATGGTTGCTTAACTATTTTGCCCAATTTTTCAAACGAATTTATTTGTTAAAATTTGTACCTGTTACAATAATGTAAATATTTACAATTATATAATTCACTTCGATCTTCTAGACATCAATCTTGCTCTTGTTTAAAATTCGTGATTTATATTGTTCCTCTCTGATATTGTCTTCTATATTTTCTTCAATTTTCAGCGCCATCTTCAGAATGATCATGTATATTATTACAAACTGATTACTTATTTATTTATGTTTATTAATGTAGATACATTGTAAAAATTGTTTTAACTTGTTTATACTTAACTGTAATATTGATTAATATTTATATGTAAAGTTGTACATAATTATGTCATTTGACCGCAAAAAAATTTAATTAAAATAATTCAAATTATAATTCGTTATTGGTAACGAACTATATCATTTAGATGGCATATTATTAATTATTATTGTATTGTGAATCTTTATACAAATCCAAATTTGTATGAGTATAACTATATGAATGGAACCTAAATAAAGACCTGCTTTGCATATCTGGAATACCTTTGCATATTATGTACTTTCTGTATATTTTTAACAAGTTTTAATAAAAATCATAATGGTTTAAACATATCATAAGTTAAAGAACTTTATCTCTATAAATAACAAATATTTAAATATACATATATATGAGGTATATCGATATTTAAATATATGGTAATGTTAGAAATGAAATATTATTTCCATGTAAGTAATTGTTATGTAATTGTTAAAAGCTTTAATACAATAAGAGGTGTTTAGTATGTATATCCGTAAATTGAGAACAATGTACATGAAGTTAGCTGGTAACAACCTGACATTATACGAATGTATATAGTTAACTACATACATGTATTATGTACAATGTATGTACATATATACCATATATGTACTAATACGTACATATTGATAACTATCTATTTATTGAATTTGTAATTGTTTACCTTCAGTATTTAACAAGAAAATTAATTCTTAAATTTGAACAAACAACATGCATAATTCTTATAAGATTGTAGAAAGAATAGTTAAAATTATTTATAAATTATGCAAACTGCAATAAATGTTCTGTGAAAATGCATTACGTGAACAATCCATATTAAAATATTTATGAATGATACTAACAATTAAGAACAAGTCATTTAGGAATATAAATGAGTAGTGTGAGGAAAACGAAAGCAAAATTTGCAGACTGTTGTTTAATATATTGCCAACAGTGAATAGAATATGTGGATATTTGATAAAGAAGTATCAGATTTTTTATAATTATAGATTTACTATTGTTTTTGTTTTTCCCGTAATCTAAACATGTTTTCCGTAATATTTAACCTACAGAAAATTTTAGAAGATACTATAGGTAAAAGTGTAATTCTATATACATATACATATATAATTATATGTATAATATAATTTGCATATAAGTATAAAACACTGACATTAATAATTTGCAAATGAAAGTATTATAAGCATGTTTAAATAATTGAGATTTTGTCATTGATAGTATATTTAACTTACCAGTATCTTAGAGGAAGATTATAAATCTTTTGTAAATTTTGTATATTATTAGTTATATTTACTTTTTATTTGCATATTATATTAAATGAAAATTTTGCGTGAAAATCATATGCGATAAATAATTTATTTATTCTTTTTAGTTGAATATATCGACGTGGACTTTACATTATGGTTGTGGCTTTTGATGCCACTTTTGTTAACATTTTTACTTCCACTTCTGATTGGGATATTATTATATTTAACTGCATTAATATTGTATATATATAAGTTACACAGGTAGGTTGTTATTAGTTTGAGCATATATTTGTGATAAATTTTATACAATCTAAATATTTTATTTTCATAGAGTTAGATTAAGAAATGCATATGAAACAGACTGGAGAAATGCTGCACGCAATGTAGTAGCTGCAGTTTGGGATGCCCATGGCTGGATTTGGTATGGTATGTTACATATGAAATTAATTAAGTATAGTAATCATTTTTATAAAATGAATTACATAATATAATTTTTGTGAAGTACAAAACTTGAAATTTTATATGTATTTTTTGTAGGATATGAAGTAGTTGGACTTCAAAATATACCACAAAATGAACCAGTACTTTTTGTATACTATCATGGAGCTATACCTGTAGACCTTTATTACTTTATATCTAAAATATTACTTTTAAATTCGAAGCTAATTCATACAGTAGCAGATAGATTTCTTTTCAAATGCCCCGGGTGGTCTATAATTTCTGATGTATTAAAAGTAATACCTGGTACAATCCAAACATGTTCTACTATTTTGAAAGAAGGTAATATGCTTGCAATCTCACCTGGTGGCGTATATGAAGCTCAGTTTGGAGATTCTTATTATCAATTAATGTGGAAAAAGCGAGTGGGTTTTGCAAAGGTTGCATTGGATGCTAAAGTGGTATTATATTATTATTATTATGTTATTATATTATACTTCCCTTTTATATTTGTACAAGTTTTAAATATTAATATTTTTGTGACAGTGTATAATACCTTTATTTACGAAGAATATTAGAGAAGCATTTAGAACGATAAGTTGGGGTAGGAGAATGTGGTTGAGAATATATGCTGCCACCAGATTTCCTTTTGTACCTATCTATGGTGGTTTTCCTGTAAAGTTGACAACATATGTTGGTAAACCAATTCTGTATGATGGGAATCTAACACCAGAAGAATTACAAATGAAGGTAATGAAAATAAATGTTTAAATATTTTTTAGTGCTATTATAGTTTAAATAAAATAAAAAGTCATAATATACATACGTGAAAAGTTAGATACTATAGATTTACTATTTCTGTTCTCAGGTTGCTGATGCACTCAACAATTTAATAAATCAACATCAAAGAATACCAGGAAGTATATCATTAGCTTTGTTAGAAAGAATATATGTTGCAGAGAAAGAAGAATCATAAGTTTTAGCATTTACTCAAGTATTATAATATTGCATCTTACATATGCGATAGAAGAAATGTTTGAAGATGTTATACTATTTTGGACTATTTATACTTATAATTTATGGTGCTGATTATTTAATAATTCTTAGTAATGATAAATTCCATTAAATTTAAGGTTAATTTTGCCACTATTTAATTGTACTTATTTTTGAAGTTTTGTATTTAGTTTTGAAGAACTTATTTTTGTCTTTCCAATTGTTACATAAATATTTTATATATTTTATCTTGATTCATTGTTGATATGAAAGTATAAATTAACAAATTTATTCAGATTTCAATACATTTTTTTATATGTATATCGATTGTTTCTATATTTATACGTATTTTTTATATACATATATATATATAGATATAAATGATATTACTATTCTCTACACGTAGCTGAAACCAGTCTTTAATTTTTTCTCAAGTATTATTGATATATTTTTATTGCAATTAGAACTCTTAATGTAAGCGATTTGTAAATATTTTTTCTGTTATAAGAATTTGCTGTGCAACTAAGCTCTGAATAATTCCATATAATATTGTACGAGTACTTATATTCATTCTCTTATTTACTATCTTTGTACACGAAAAATAAAGGACACTAGAGTTCTACATTTATTCAGTACAAATTACTTAATCATAATGTTATTTTAGAATAATTAACTTTTTTATTTTTTTCTTCAAAATATGACTAGTTTAAGAATTTATAATTCGAATATATAAATAAATATCATTTACTCCAATTACGTAAATTGTATACAGACTGCGGATTTCTATTCATATGAAATTCATATTTTTGAGAATATAATTAAAAATGCAGAAGGTATAAAAGAAGGTAGTGCCTACTAATTATTACAGAAGCTACTATATTTTGAATATTTCATACATTTTTTCATATTATGTCCATTTCGTGCAATTTTACTTTCAAATTTCTTATGAATGCATAAAAATTTGCAGTCTAATTATATAGCTCTTTCATACAACATATTAAGTATAAAAATCAAGGAAACAATATTTACTTCAAATTTTGCGGAATCGGAAATATTCATATCGATCGTAGTATGTTAACCGGAAGATCTGAAATGCAGCGAACCTAACGGCGGCATTTCCAGTTAAAATTTCTTTCCTGAGGGTATCTTCAGTCTTCAGTTACCTTGTTATATTCATCGAACGGCATTGGATCTAGCATCGTTTTTTGCACCCACGAGAATCACATTTATGTGAATTCTGTTTAGCAATACGAGCTGCCCGGTCTTGTATAACAAAATTTACTTATTTCTTCGTTAGGAATCCGATTTCTGTGACATAAAATACATAGCCATGGGCGTGGATGTAGAAGTTCTTTCTCCTGGAGATGGTAATTATTCTGTACACGATATTCTGCGATCTTTCATTTTTCTTTTTCGATTTGTTGTTTCTTTCTTTTCGAGTCACACCTCGTGTTTTTTTTCCTGTTCGACTTCGACTAAATTCCATTAATTCTATTGTGATTAAAATATGCCGGAAAGTTTAGTCAGTGAGATTTATTTACAACCTGAAAATCTATGAAAACCATGCTTTGGCGATGGTCCGTTCCAAATAAGGCGATTTCGATCTTTATTCAATACGTTTAGTATTGTATGAAATTTTAGTACTTTGTACTTTTCATTTATAATGCGACCATTCTTGTAATGTCTGTGCAGGCCAGACATATCCGAAAACCGGACAGACCGTAGTTGTTCATTATACAGGTAAATATTTTTCAAGTCATTCGTATTAAATTGTATACATTGATAATAGGATTTAAAAATAAAAAATAATTTTTAATGTGACAATTATTACTGTTATTAAATCACATTATTCATTTTGATGAAGTAAAATATTACTGTTTATAATTTGCAGTACTTTGAATTTTGTGAAATTTTAATTATTAAATATATAATAGGTACCCTTGAAAATGGAGTAAAATTTGACTGCAGTAGGGACCGTGGAGTGCCATTTAAGTTCAAAATCGGTAAAGGTGAAGTTATTAAAGGCTGGGACCAAGGAGTTGCTCAAATGTGTGTTGGAGAACGTGCTAGGTTAACTTGTTCACCAGATTTTGCCTATGGTAGCCGAGGACATCCTGGAATATATCCTTTAATATAAGATAAACATTTGTAGTATTATTAATGTTAGAGATAAATCTAAGGAAAAAGCATAAAACCAAATTTTATAATTATTAAATTTTAAAATTATTCATAATTAAAAAAAAATTATTGTAAATTCTTATATTTTGCACAATATTTGCATATTATGAGTAACTGAAATTAATACATTAAAGTAACGCCATTATTACTAAATAACTATTTTTTTAATTACTATTGTTATTATTTGAATTTTGTTTTTAATAGTAGAATATAGGAATGGAGGAAGAATGGGGCATAAATAGTTAATCTTAATAATTATATGAATAATATTGTGATGTTATCCTTGACATAGACACACTATTCCTCCAAATGCTGTCCTTATCTTTGATGTGGAATTATTGAAGGTGGAGCCTTGAAGAATTTTCCAGAGTGTATCAAATTGACTGCACACATCAGAACCACAGATAATTAAACGCTTCAAATTACATTATGTTAAGTAGTCATTGCATGAGTGGTATGTCTTACATACTAACCTTAATTTGATTGCTCATAAAAACAAAAACAAAAAAATAAAATCGAGACTTTAATTCTGTTTCACACTATTGCACAACTATATACACTACAGATTACAATTGTACAGAAATCATTAATGACCAATTAACGTGGGATATCAGAACATGTTTCTCACATTTTTACGTCATAATAATATTAAAGTTTACATTGCTCGTTTTGAGGCTGATAGCATTCCTATTATAAGAAATTGAATTAAATAAATCTTGAAGCATTCAACATGTAATCCAACATCTGTGTTCATTCCAATTACTTAGTACTTGGTAAATAATCATCTGGGTATTTTGTACAAAATCTTTCAATGATCCAAAAGAAAATAATTGTATTGGTAATGTAATAGTATGAACCTTTACACAAAAAAATTCAATAAAAAAATTGTCTTGTCTTCAAGTATATGAATATATTTATTAGCCCACAGTTAATATTTACCTATTACAATTTAAATTTTATGTTTATATATACATATATCATTTTGAATAACCTTAATTTGTTTTGAATATTTCAACTTCATTACAACATTTTCTTTGAACTATACATTACTTCCTCAAAATTTTGTTACATTTTTATACAATATTATACCAGTGATATGCGGATATTAAAGCAAATCTTGTCAATAAAACAGCATTGACATTATATTACATAATTTATCAGTAATAGGGTATTAGTACATAAATGTGCTACTATTTTTTTTTATGGGTTGCACAAGAAGGAATGTGTTATGAATTGCGCAACATTAATTTACATAGTACAAACAATTATGAAACGATAGTTTCAAATTATTTTAAATATTTTTGCAAACATAACGAGCAATAAATTTAACAAAATTGAAATAATACTTATTATAATTATAAATAAATAATAATAAGTATTAATCATTTATAAATATTAAAAAGAAATATATATACACGAATGTAATTAATATTAAGCAAATATAATTGCACACATTAAACGGTATCAAAATGCGTTATATGTACAAATTGTTCTACATTTTTTAAACGTAAAATGTATAAATAAGTTAAGTTGATTATAATTGACATATGGCAATTGTAATGTCCAACTTAATAAAAATGTCATAGCAAGAAAAAACTCGTCATTTTAATAAACAAATAATTCTGGGAAATGTATTTCATAAGCTGGAGCTTGACTTGGTTTGGTATCTGTTGGTGGTCCACCTGGTTGAGTTGCATTTCGTGGATCAACGGATAATGTATTAAATATCTCTGACAGTTTACTTTGTAAAACATCATGCTGTAAAATTATTTATCATTATTTTTATGTTTTTTACCAATAAGAAATTTATTAACTATTTTTATACCTTTGGTTGTGTCTTTGATACCAAATCTTGGAATGGTGCGTTTCTAAAGAAGTGCGATAATTGCATTCGTTTTTCTTCCTCTATGACATGATTATTATTATTTTCTGTTAGAATTCGTTTCATACTCTCAAAAGTTAACTCTTCTCCTGGTAATTTCTGAGAATGAAAGGTATACAAAAAATAGATTATTAGAAGGTTATAAATAAATTAGAACTATATATAAAGGATGTACTTTTTGAACACCAGGAGATGAGCCACCACTATCTAATTCAGTAGCACCAGAATTAATATCGGCTAACGAATTTCGTCCAGCACTATCGACCCACGAATGCCTAAAAATATGAAATTGACAATTACAAAGATTACACAATTAATAAAATGAGAAAAATTGTTATAATTACTATTACCGATGTTGTAGTGAGATACTACTATAACCAGATCCCTGTTGCAATTTTCCACTGTCAAGACCAGCTCCTTTTAAACATTCGCTTAAAACAGTTTGATCAACTAATAGAGCGGGTGCTAATCTAGAAGATAAACCACTATCATACTGAGATTGCAAATCAGGCAAAAGATGAGGTGCTTCCTTTCGTCGTACTTCTACAATCTTAAAATATAAAAATTAAAGGAACTAGAATATATTCTTATTGACCAGAATATGTACCAACAAACGAAACAATTTGGAACTTACTTTATTTGCGTAATCCATGAGTGAAGTAATATTACAAACATAAGATATTAGTACAAGCAAACTGATGACAATAGCGTGCAAATTAAATTTGAGTGAAATACTGATTTGGCCACTTGTTAAAGCCAAATCCTGAAGACTCAGCACTAATCTTAATAACTCCAACACAGTTTCTTCTGAGGCCAATTCCACGGCAAGTAATGCCAATGTTGTATATATAGATTCTACGTTTTCCACCATGTTACTTGCCAATTCTAACGATTCATATAACGCTAAATAAATTTCAGGGCCATGTTTACGAATAAATATCACATCTGGTCTGGATCCTTTTTCGATTGTAAGATCAAGTTGTGCAACATTTACTCTGTTCAATAAAAATGATAAGATTATATTTGGGAAGAAGAAAAAAAATGATATAAATTAAAACAATCTATTATTGACAACTTACGTAGGTTTCGCAAGTTTCGTAATATTTTGATGCCTATCGATTAAAGTATGAAAGATTTTTTGTACTAAAAGCCGCATTTCAGCATCTGCTGCAAGTGACATTCTTAACAATGGCTCCAAAAAGCTTGGTGGAAAAGTTGTATTCAAATGTATAGTTTGGTATTTTGTGCCAACCTGAAATGTATTTACACAAATGTAATAAGAAAAAAGTATGTATTAAGTAGCGTGTGTGTTTTGCTCGTGTTAATGATGTATAATTACTTTTAGAAGAGATTTTAGAAGAATACTTTGGAGTAGTACATCTCCTTTACCGACTGAAACTATACGATCTGGTTGACTATATGGAACTTTGCTCATTATGAACATCATAATTTCTATTTTCTGATAATCTGGAAGATGATTTGCAAACTCTCCAAGGGCATTAATAAGAGCCTCTTGATATAATTGTTCATCATTACTTGAAGATTGATTTCTTGTTACACTAACTCTAAGATGAGATAGCAGAGAATTTATTATCTCCAACACAGAGGGACCTTTAAAAATATGTTATTTTATATAATTCTGCAATACAAATAAACAAATTTTCATATGTATTAAAACTTACCAACACTTTCACCAGCTGCAATGGAAATAATTTTGGACAAAGTATCTGCAATACTTGTTCTGATCTTGGGGGATGATTTTGAATGATCATCAAGATGAATCATTAATGCTTCCACAACTGTATAAGAGTACTGTGACTAAAAATGTTTGATATATTTTGATATTTATTGATTATCCTTTTTTAAATACCCATTGATAAGTATTAACAATATTTAATGATTTTCTTCTAACCTGAATGGAGAACATAATTATCCTAAATGTATGAATAGCAAAGTAATTAGGGACCCATAACTGATGGTTATCTAGATGCCTGTAAATAATTTTTATTGTATTAATATGTTCATTAAAATTTTACCTCCAATTATTTTTGTTCACAATAAAAGGTATACAATGACAAACTTTAAATGGAAAATGTAACATACAAACCTTAGAACGGGTCGAATAACACATCTTATATGACCAAATGATGCTCGGCCAACGAGTTCTCGCATACAAGTTTCTGCAAATTGTGGTGGGTCCGATCGTTCCTCAGTTGGGCTATCTGGTGTTGCATCTTCTTTATTAGAATATCTATCAAAATGAAATTGTAAATATATACATAATAATCAGTTTACATAATGTACATATGCAGTGGTTTCTTCTGTGTATATCACCTTGAGTTTTGCATATTGTATAACAACGAAGGAACAATTTTATCCATGTGTACAGGTTCCCAAATGTTTTCTACTAGATCATCAGAAAGTGTTTTCCTTACTACACCCTATATTAGAAAATATAATACAATAAATTTTTTAAAAACAACAAATATGTAATTAATTCCAATTTATAATAAAATAATTTTGATTAAACTACTAGTTATACACATTTAACTATACAAAGATCATGCCTGCAATCCCTGAATTCCAGCAAGCCGTATCTGTTTGCGGATAGCGTGGTCATTGTGGTTGGAGTGGCACATTGCAGAGTATTTTGATACAAAGAAATCGTAACGTGTGTGATAAGACGGCGTATCCTGCTCGATGTTTGCAAACCGGACAAACTGGAAGAAGCCAGCACTTTGTTCAACTGAATTGAAAGATGCCAAAAATACAATTATTTTTGATAGTAATAAATGATAAAGTAACATTAAAAACAATTTTATATTAGAAAATACAAATAAATATAATAATATAAAGTATCTAAAATTATTTAATGAAACTTACAGATTGGGTTGCCAGTATTTGTAATTGTGGATCAGTAGATTCTAACAATTTCTGTATCATCTTTAAAAAGCTTTCAACAAATAAATTTAAAGTCTGAGCATGGCATGCTACTAAAAGCTGATCCATTGCTTCCATAGCAATGACAACAAATCCATTTCTTCTCCTGTATTATAAATATGTTTATTTATATATTTTCTTATTTAAATATAATACATGCAGATAAGAAATTAACATTTTGTAAGATAATGATTAATGACATATTTATATAACTGGCATATAACATAAGTAAACAAGAATTTACATTGATCACATGAGTGTGCATTTTTAACAGTTATTAAATTAATTATATGCAATTCTCTATCACTTAAGTTGTTTGTGTCATACCTGTAAATGTCCCTGGAAGCCCTTTGAAACAAATATTCTCCAATCCTGTCTAGTTTTTCAGGGCTACTCAATGAATAAAAGGTCAGTTTCTCCATGTTATTTTTTACTAAGCCATCCTAATTATAAAAATATTAATGTATATAAAAAGTACTAAATGTTAATTTCTATAATATTAGATAGCAAGATTGATGTTTTAAATTTAAAAATCAATAAAATCAAGACTAAATGTCAATCGTATGTGTATTAATAATTTTATCATGATACACTCCTTCTTGTATTTATACATATATATCTTTTAATAATAACATATTTATACATAAACAAAATATTTGTAAACTATGTGAGAATTGACACAAAATTCAGTTCACTTAGAAAAAAGAAATTACAAGTGAGTAAGCCAATTAATATTTTAATAAATATGATTAATTACCTAACAAATATCTCGTCCTTATATTGTTCAATAAAATAACAATATTCTTTTTAAATGAATTTGATGTTATAGATTAATACATACATGAAAAATACGAATTACGTAATGAAACTGCGATATGATATATTTATTGTGAGAGATAATATAAAATAATTATGAAAGTTTGTTAATATATCAAAAATATAAAGCTTACCTGAGGATTTACTGGAAAGATATTGTCAACGAGTCTTTTATATCGTGGGCGTAAAGCTGAACAGCACCAGCAACAACCTGACAGAAATAGAAGGAAAGAAAATATACACAGGCGAAAAATATGTTTCCGTGAAATATATCGGATGATAGGTGAAAACTAACTAATCGTATGTAAATATGAAAGGGACATCTCACGAAAAAATTATACGCTTCAAAACAAAATCACGATATTTACCAAACATTTCGTTACGATCGAAAAACTACTGTACACTCGAACAAACTTCGATCGACTGATGTAACCAATAGAATGTGTACTTTTAAGCCGCTACCAAAAATCATTATGCGATTTGCTCTATATGCAATTGTTATTTATAAAATAGTGTAAAATACTACTATATGGAGTTTATTAATTTGTACAGTAATTGTAATGTGTATGAGTTAAGTTACAAACAAGTATTTTGTACAGTTTATCATAGACGAATTTACATTTATCTTCAATGACAAAATTTTGTCACGAAGAATTTAAGGTCGGTAAGATTTATTTCGTTTTTGTCGACCTGAGTTACATTTCAAAATGTAGATAAGAGTCGAAAGATGGCAGTATGATTTACTTTTTCAACATTTGAATTTTCATTTAAAAAAGATATTGAAAAAGTTTCATGTCTTTTTTATTTTATAAAGAAACATATTATTTAAAGATTTTTCATCATAGTATGTTTTTAACTACGTTTCAAATGAAGCGTAGATATAGTTTCTCATAGTTACAAATTTTATATCAATTTATTTAACATCATCTTATTTAAAAGTAGAATAACTGGAAGATTTAAATATTATTAAACACGTAAGTACTGTCGCTATCCATTAGCAATTCTACGATATTGCACCTTTATGAGACACATATACGTGCATTATCTGGGGAAAAACTATTTTAAGGTAAAAGCGCGAACGCCTGTCAGCTAAACCGATTCAGGAAGACAAGATGTTCCGAATGTTGACAGCGCGCTTCGAAAATCAATACAATATCGCGCCTTTATCTGTTTGCACGTTTGCAAATAACGGTTATATGGAAATTGTTCTATCGTACTTAGTATACCAAAATCAATTTATATCATCTATCTATGTCGTAAAATTAATGTTACATATTAGAAAATTAGGAAATTGATTACGAAAATGCAATAAAGACACGGTCATCGTTTAATTTGGTCGAACATCAACTTGGAATTTTGAGGTTATTATACGCTGTTTTGTAATTGCATACAATTTTGTATTATTTTCAAATGTGTGTGTGTGTGTGTGTGTGTGTGTGTGTGTGTGTGTGTATGTGTGCGTGCGTGCGTGCGTGCGTGTGTGTGTTTTAGCGAATATTTTGTTACAAAATTATAGAATCACTTGATTAGAAATTCTTAACTTACTTTTACACAATTTTTACAACAATTTTCAGTTGATCGTCTAATCTTGTTCAGTCGGAAATGAATTAAATTCACGCATGTTTAACAAGTTTTCAAATTTGATTTTTTCAGGAAACGCAACTTACAATGTAATTTTGCCATTCTTGGTTTTCGTTTTATTCTGAGCCACGGGAACATCCACGCTATACTTATATCCTTCGAATTACGATAGTAAAAATAATACGAGACAAGTAAATATAAATAATACGAATAAATTTTATTTCAAATATTATATTCTTGCAAATATTACAACATACAGTTTGTTTTTTAGGAAACTTAAACTAGGTCGTACGAAGGTATTCGATTGAAACATGAAACACTTGCAAGATAATATAGTGTGCAGGATATCCTCAAAGTTTATGCAAAGTAATGAATATTACTTATATACACCATCGATAAATCGATAGACTTATATTAATGCCGTCATAAATACACAATTTTCGCTACAAAGCTGCAGAAGTTCGAAGAAATGAAAAGTATTACAACTGATTATTTTTCATTACTCCCATAACTCTTTTGTCAAACTACTTATATAATAATTCTTGTATGCTTTTGATGCACAATTTTATGGTTGCGAATGTTATATCAAAAGAATCCAGATGTAGGTTTGTTAAATTACATGGAAACTGTTGCGAGTTGCGATAACAACCGTGCGAAAGCACGTGTTCCACAGCTTCAGTCAATCTCCTATTGACTCTTGAACTCTAGATAAAAGTCTAAAAGTTAATTTTATGGAATTACCAAGAATGTTATGCGAAAATATAGAGTAAATTAAACTGCATCAATCGTAATTCCTTTAACAACTTTCAACTGAATAAGTTCAAAGTGTATGTATTTTATAGATAATGAATTAATCAGATTTTACTCGATTTTGTAGATAATTTCCACTTTATTTTTATCGAGAAAGCTTTTTAACAATTTATTTAACTTTCCAACGAATGTATCGAAGTAAGTGTCCTAATACATACGTACTTAAAGTGCCTGCAAGAGGTATTTGCACGTACAGTTATTTTCCAATAAAATGTTTTTTTTGATTACATTTTACATTTCATTTTCTTAGTGCAAATTTTTGTAGTCACACGCAGATGCCACGAAACGATACGAAATTTAATATACATGAACCTAATTAATTAATATGTAACCGGCTATGATAAATACAGTTGTATAGAAGGTTTGTTTCCAGTTACTGTACATACTGCAGTGCATATATCATTTCTAAAATTTTTACTTTTAACTAAAATGTTTATCATCTTATCGTAAAACAACTGATTTGTACTTACAGCCTGGGTCAGTGCACTTTCGTGCGAGAATCTCGAAAACGTCAGGCACCTCTGTCTCGAGGCAGCATTTGATCATAGCCATCTCCTCCACCAACTTCGCATCCCATGAGTATTTGCACCAAAATATTAAGATTCCACTGTTTTCAATCGTTTTGTAGATTTAATTCGTTGGAGTCAACGTAACTTCTTGTATAAAAGACCGACGAATGAAGAGGAATGCGAGAAACCGAACGGGTGGTACTGACACGACGTCGACGCTCGGCGTCGCGACGCTCGTGCCCTACTAACCCGCATTTCGTGCACGATGCTACCCTTGGCAATACTTTTCCTGACTACGTCATGCGATGTACACGCGCCTGTGCAAGAGGGTTGTCGACGTGGAACAGGGTGCGGGAGGAGAACAACCCTGTGGCGTCTCTGCTAATAAAGCTTATCCTCGTCAGGGTCGCGGTCCATGTAAATCAATGCCGAAAGAGGGTGGAATATTGTCACGGCTGACCAAATACAGCGGCTCACGAAAGTATGCGAACTCTCTTAGAAACTCTGTGTATACAATCCGGCCCGAGTGTTTGAAACATCTTTTGCTTTTTCGACAAACGTTTTCGTATATCTGTCCGAGAAACAAGAGGAGGGTATCGCATGTATTACAATTATAGATTTTGTCTTTAAATATCATTACGAATTTGTTTTACGTTAAAACGATTGCGAATTTTTATGAATTTATAATAAATTTGAAAGAACGAAATTGCACAGAATGCACATAATATGAACAGATGTATGAAATATTCAAAGTATAGCTCTTCCTATAATACTTGACAGATGAAACAATTTTCTATCCGTGTTCTACGTTTCCAATTGTATTCTCTACAATTTGCATAAACATTCGCAGTCTTCCAATTATAATTCCAACACTATCAAAGAATAACATTATGAATAAAATAGTTATTTACTCAAGGTAGTCATTATCTTTTAAGGCAATATGATGTCCTTTAAGATCTGTTGAGACCGAAACATACTGTAAATTTTTGAGCGGGAGGATATACCTAATTAATGCTGTTTACAATATAATTTGTAAACAGAGTATTTTTCTTTTAGAGATAAAACATCGTTTTTCGAAATTAGTTTACAAATTGTATCTTGAGTTTGTTAGACCTTACACTGATATTCTTAGAATAACAGTAATAGCTCGATGTATTTGTATGTAGATTGTAGAACTAGACACTAATAATTAATTTTTAGTACAAGACAAGAATAATACGTAAAAGCAAATATGGAGGTAAAATAAAGAAATGCATAAAGCAAATTAACCGATGAATTATATTATTTATACGAACTGTATATTATTTCTGAGAACTGTAATGTCATTCCATCAAATTTTGATTTTTGGCGATAATACCTAATATAAAGCATTGAGTTAATGATATACAGTAAAAGTTCTATAAGGAACCTCGCAATCGAGTGGGCCTTTTGATTGACCCACACGTTCCGCGATACCAAAGACGGCGAGGACAGTGGAACAGCGTCGATGACGTCATCGTTCACTGACGATAGTAATTGATCTCATTGTATATAAATTTAAAGATTAAAATTTACAAGATATCAAATTAATCGATTGACACTATAGTGAATGTAATTCTGCTTATTTACGGAGAGAAAATATGAATTGTACAATAATTATTATTTAAGTTTCGGATTCTAAATTAAAATAAATTTCTGTTGATGAAGCTTTTGTATTGAGAGACACGAGTGTAAGCATCAGGGTAGCCTTCAGCACATGGAATGACAAAGGAAGCGATACCTACAAGTTGGCCATTGTAGACAAGGGGACCGCCACTATCACCCTGTAGGGAGAACAAATATTTTTTGTGAAACTAATTTTGGAAAATTATAAACAGATTCTAAATTCATATCTTGAATAACCATATAATTATATGGCGAATTATATGAATTGAGTGTAAGTATTTGTAAAATTATATATATGAAAGAAATGTTGTATATATATTCCATTTTTTAGTTTTAGAAATTTGAACTTGAAGTAGAATATTAGGGTGTCACTTCGATGAATGTGTATATTAGCTGTGATATGTGATCATATTAATTTGAAGAATATAAAATTGAAGTTTAGTACGTACCATACAGATACCAACACCCTTTTTGTTATAGGCACACAAGTGTCCAGGGTAGATCTGGATTCCCAAGCGCTTCTGACAATCTGCATTGTTTAGAAGATTTACGGTTGTCGTTTGTAGGGTATTAGGCAAGTTGCCTGCGTTAGCACTGGTTCTTCCCCAACCGGTCATTCTCAATGTTGCACCAACTGGTGGATCAGAAGAAACGAGAGGAATTGGCTTCTGGTTAGCGTTTATGCTAACCGGGCTAGCGAGCTGAAATTATTACAAATATTGATATATTTGCAAGTGAAATCTGGTTAAAGGAAATAGCTTTATTTGAGTTTTCATGCGTTCTAACCCTTTGACAGTATAACAAAATGACGTAGAATTCAGAATTAATGATTTAGAAACTAATTACATGTCTCTTTATCTACAAGATTTTACATACAAAAAAATATATACATTTTCAACTTTATACACATAGGGAATAAATATCGATAATTATGTTACTTATTTGACTGTCTGCCCCAATTTTTCTCGCTGTGAAAGGGTCGAGTAACATCTTTTTTTTTTCTTTTCAGATACGTTCGTTATTACAATCAATTGGAATAAAGTATTTTGATGTGTATTATATGCAACTATTTATATAGTATAAAAGAAAAAGAGTAAGACGTAATAATGACTACTGATTTGAATGACTATACAGGAAGGTAACTATGAAGGTGAAATTGCAATATCGCCGATGTAGACGATGTACAGTTGTATCGTTGGCGTGGGTTCATTTTCACAGTTAGAAATAAATATTTTATCGTTATTAATGTTAATGCTACATTTCGATAAAACTGAAGAACTTTGTACGTTGTAAAATATTATTCCGTTCTACGATATTGATTTCTTACTTACAGTGACTACAGCAACGTCATTTCTGAAAGACTCGGCAGAGGTAGGCTTGAAATCGGGGTTGTAGACGGCCGACTTAACAGCGTGGGTTTGACCACCACTTGAGAGGGTAACTGTACCAGTTACGACAGTGAAATCCTTGTATGGAGGAGACACAACACCGTGGATGCAGTGAGCAGCAGTGACTACGTGTTTATTGGTAACCAGAGTGCCACCGCAGAAGTGTCTTCCATTTTGTCTAAGCGATACTTGATAAGGATACTGACCAAGGCGAGCATTGGTGCCACCGACGATTTGTTCGCCAATCTCGTTCGTTTGGTTGCTGGCAAAGACGTCTATATAAATCAAATTTCGAATTAATTTTTCTTATTACAATATTATGCATAGTAACGAACTTGTTATTTTTTCATTTCGTTCCTATCCAGGTAATATGCAGAGTATGAAATTCAACTTTAGCGAATTCAGAACAGATAAGAGAATTATAATTGGATTATTTCAACGTTTGTTACTATTAAAGAAGAGTCGAATTTAATGGAGTTTATTAATAGAATTTAATTTTTTAATTTATTTGATTAGAATTTAATTTGTTTGAATTTCTATTATTTACTTACCGCCGAAAACGACACCGATTATGAAGACGACTAACGCGAGACGTGTCATTGTAACTCGAAGAATTTTGAAACTGCAGTGTAATGATACGAATGAACGATTTCCTTTTATATGAATATCGATGTTTGAAATAGGTACTCGGATACATATCGTTATCGATACATATCATGATAAGCTTGAAAGTTAATCACATAAACACAGAAAAGTTATAAGAACATCATACTTGAATTATCAATTTTAATGATTACTTAGAAGCAAACACTTATACTTTTTGATTGCATGCGTAATAAAATGATTTAATGCGATTCGAAGTATTATAATAATACAATTATCGCTTTTAAAATAACGTTATTCTATTTTGGCTCGATATCTCTTGTAAAGATTATCTTCCACATCTTAGAAAAAATCATATATTTACTTTGATATGTTTTTATCAACTTTATGTTTTGTACGAATACAATACTTTTAAGAAAAGTTTATTAATAAATAGAATGTGTATAATTATGTTTGAATACAATATAGAAACTATTTATGAAATGATATTTATGTTATATTATGAGTTTATTACTAATAAATTTGACAGTTTAGTTATTTAAATCACTGCTTATTTATTTAAAAGATTTTATACGGTACATAAGATGAATTTTGTTAAAATTATCATTTCAAGGCTTGTTGGATACGCGAAAAAGTGTCATGAACACTGTTTGGAAATATCAGGTTTATCAGTAATGTAAGGAATAGTACGAGATGCAACAGTAACCACGTGAGTCCTATAAACCAATGGACTACTGCTATCACCCTGTAAGAAAAGGATTTTAATTATCTTCGTAGATAATCGTTAATAATTATCTTGTGAAAGGCAAATAGAAAAGGAACTTTTATATTTTGCAATCCACGCTCACTGACATTGAGATCTAATAATGCAACATTTTGATTATTTATTAATCGCAATTAATGTTATTTAAGTTTCTCAAAAACCAGACTGATCGCCTTTATTCTTTGTAAATTATTCAATTTTTTTACTTCTCTCTGAATTTTCATTTAAGGCGTTTATCAATTGATAAGGGAGTTAACCTTCGTGAGACGTTTCGTAATATCGATACAAACTTGTCGATGTTTATGTTGTATGTACCATGTCCAACGCTACGGAAGGTGCAAATAACGTCTTCTCCAACATAGAACTTTTGACATTTCTTCGGATCGACAATTCCAACCACCAAATATGGTAAAACGCTGAAAACCTTTCCATTTTTAGGATTTGCCTTTGGTCTGGCAATTCGAGGTGGAACAGCCTTTTGAAATTTGTTAAATTCGATGGGTTTGACAAGCTGAGAAAACAATAAGCAATATAGAATAATAACAAATAATTCTAAA